CAGCAGGAAGCAAACGTAGGAAGCGCAAACAGGGGTTGTGATCAGCGGACAGCATTACTTTTGCTGTAACTTCTAACATCCAACAGATCTCAGCTTATATGTAGACAGGCAACAGCTTACCTTTCTACAGGCACTGACCACGTACCCCAGGCAAGCAAAGTCTTCCTAACAAATTCAGTGGAAGCTACACACACAAGAAATTCAAGAATTTAACGTGTTCTTCCCTCCTCTCCCAGGAGATTCACCATAATCTTCCAAATCATGCTTAATATAACAATGAGCAAATTCATTCTCCACTGATACACGGGGTACGACCTACTCCATGCATCTAACAATGCAACACACACGTTTCTTAGAGGAGAAGTACTTATATTTAATCAAAATTCTTGTCACTCATGAGATGAAAAATACACACTTCGTGTTAAGGGAGCATCTCCGTTTTTTTTCACCAGGAAGTCCATCCACAAATTGGAAGGGGGGGAATTTCATATATTTAATACTTACATTCAAACTTGAGGACCCAACATCCAGTCAGAACAGCCATCATGCATTTGACAGTACTTGGAATTGGAGCATCAGGGATAACAAGGTGAGTTACTAGAAGAAAGATTATATGAGGACTAAAAGCCCATAAAAATCAGAACCATGCGCAGCTGAAAAGCATCAATCGCCACATACAATAAACAGGCCATAATTATTTAGCAATCACCCCTTCCAGTACAAATATGATTTTTGAGTCTCTTTTTTAAGAAGAGATATGTCTGCAGAAGGGCCATTAGAAATTTTGTGGCTTTTAACATATACTTGCTGTGAAAAAGTAAAGTCATTTTTACAGTTCCAAGCTTACACTTAAGTCTTCGAAAGCAAGCCTAGGTTTATGGGGCAATATTTTTCTACCCTTTTTTAATTATACTTAACTCTGTCAGGAGTTTTTACTATTCATTTCAGTGCTTCAGCATAAGACTCACAGAATGCAACTCACAACTTTGGAGCAGTAATCAGGGTATGGAGGGAACAGGGGAAAATTACCTCAGCATTTCCTTCCTTCATGAGCAGGAGCAATACCCCAAAGAAATAAACTAATAGCATTAAAACGCGGGATTAAGATAGTGATCCCAAAACAGAAAAATACACCCAAGCCCTGTAAAATGGGTCTCCATCATCTTAATAAAGAACAATAATGTTTGAAGGAAGGTGGCAGGTGAGAAGAAAGTTGTCAACTTATAAACAGTGACACACTCGGAGGGTGCAAGACTCGCTGTGTAACGCTCGATTCTAGAAAATAAAAGCTTAGAGGATGCCTTATATGTCAAGGGACTTTAAAGTCAAGTCTTAACACTCCTTCCAAGAAGTGTAAAGAGAATAGGTCTTTGAGTAGTTAGGGGTTTTAAATAGTAGACGTAGCATCAAACTGCTCGCTTCCCCTAGAAGTCTCCTGCCTCAGTAAGCAGCCAGGCAAAAGGATGCTCATGTTCAGGTCTGCAGACTGCCTCCTCGGACTCGGGAAGGAAACAGGCCACTGAAATACAGCTTGCTTTTTCCTCGCCTCGCCAGACCTTAAAAAGAGGCTCTCAAGAGGCTCATACAGACAGCGGGGCAAGTCCCAACAAACAATCAGCAGTCATTTTTTCCTGTGCCTTTCCGCAAGAGAAGCGCATAAGTGTCTTATTATACATGCAACACTACACACCTTCATTCTACTACTGCCATAAATAATTCAAGGATATTATTAGGAACGATAAAAAAAATTGTTGCAGCTAATATCTTAACAGATAAAGTGCAGAAATGTAGTTGCTTATGGTACTTGGAAAGAAATATTTCAACAAGAGTACCTACCTGTGCTGTTAAATTCAGTACAGCTTCGAGCTTTCAAAATTGTTGCTAGTTTGTTCAGCAATTTCTGTTGCGCTGAATTAAGATTGCTCCCGAGTATACCAAGAGGCCCTTCCCTTGGCTGGCTAGGGCTCATTGGCTGCATAAAAAACACACACACACAGAAAAAAAGAGTCCTACATAAGCTGAATGTTCAGGAACATAAAGAAAACAACTAATCTGTTTGACAGTTTTATTAAATATAGAATAAGCATTTTGAAAAACAATTCATGGCAAACTTAGTGGACAGGGTTCATAAATAAATCTATATATAACAAACTAGCTCTAGAGTGAGAGTTGACATTATAGGTACTTTGCTTAGTTTATGGAAGGTGCCAAAACAATTTTTGTGTATCAGTTATTAAGAAAAAGACTAGCGTGCACACATGCAGCTAGCTGAGTGTTCTGTGAACAGCCATGCTGACTGTATGTTGGAGGAGAAAAAAATTTCTCAATGTAGTAAAATCTCCTGCTTTCAGCAAAGCAGGATCAATAGACATACTATCAATATGTTGAATAACCTATATGTTTAAGGCCTGTATTTCCTTATACTAAAAAGTCTCTAATACATTGCCCTGAAAGTAATGAATGCTTAAGGTTTTTATGCAGAGATATTATTAATGCAAAGTAGGAGCTGCTTGCTTAAATTTTATCCCAACAAGGATGCGGTTACTTCCCAACTCCTGGGTCTTGGTAAGTAGTCCCAGGCCCCAGCACAAAGACATACCTTTGAGACCCAGTTATCTTCAGATGAGCCTCAGACTGGGGATCAAGTCACCCGTAAGAGCCAGTAACCATTCACAGACACACACATCCCCTAGCAAATGCAAAATCTAACTTTGCTGGCTTGCAACAGAAGAGCTGCATTACCTTGCATTTGCTACAGTCGAGAGGAACAGTTTAACACGCTCTTGCCAATTTAGTTGCACTAGTTTGCTTTTGGCCAATGAGGATCTCATTACCTCAAAGAGGAAGAATCATAACAGGCTGTATATCCTGAAGCAGAGTAGGATGCTTAAAATAAGCCAGCTCAGTTTAATCATCGTTCATTAGGAAGCACAAAGCATTTGATACACGCTAACTTGTTGAGTCCGGATAATCTGATACTGCTTACAAGTCCTCAGACACCTTTGGCAAAAAATTAAATATGCTCTTTTCAGCTACTGAATTAACATCTTCATTGTTGGGCAAAGGAAGATACTGGAACAGCCCGCTGAAGACACACAAAAAGCACCTGGAGCAAAGACTGCCACAGCTTTCAGCCAGTTTGGCGAACAGAACAAGTTTAGGTATGCAGAAAAAACAACAACCAATAACAAAGCTCAATTAACATTACTTCTGGAATAACACAACATAGTAGTTACTCTCCTTTAACAAAGCAGCACTGCAAAAAGCTCCCTTTGTTTTCCCAGATAAAGCCACTATAACACAGAATATCACGGCATGCAAGTGTCCTGCATACGTTCCAGAAACATTAAGCTTCAACGTTTTGTCCAAGTTAGCTTCCCGACTGATTCTAAGCCTCCCTGTAAGGCAGGTGATGTACTCTACTTAAGTCTAAGCCTTCAACACTTACAGGATGAACTTACGTTTTTAAAAAAAAAACACACTCACCTCAGAGGGCTGGCTAAACGAAAGTGATGCGTTCCTCACTGGCAACGTTAGCACAGACTTCATCTTTTCACTTTCTGCATAGTCCACAGGCCGCAAACCAGATATATTACTGGCAAAACAAGCACAGACGGATTTAAGTAAATAAAATGTGACTTGATTCTCAACTAACTAGGTGCATTTGCTGGGTGGTTTTTCTCCCCCACTTTCTTATTAATATGCAATTTCAGCTAAAACATACAAAGCTTCAAGTAAGAACTGCATGCAAGACAGATGGATACTGAATTACAAGCTGCTGCATTCAGCTGAGGAGAAAGATGTTCAGAGCAGCATGTTAAGTTAAATAAACTATAGCCCTTGTTAAACTGCTTTGAGATGCACTTTGATATCATTCACAGACCCAGAAATTTCACCTCTAATCTTTCACCGCAGTCACAGAACCAAGAAAATGCATTTCAACTCCAAAAATAAACACGCATTCTGCATCCGAACCCACCAAGTGTTAGGCAGCAGCCAAAGGAAAACATTCGCTAAAAGCCAAAACACATACTAAATAACAAGTTAAGCCTTGGTAACACGACCCTTTATGAGCATTATCGCCATACTCCTCGTCCGCTTCCCTACGCGCCTGAGCTTTGCGTATATCAACCCAGACGCAGAAAGCACACTGCCAAAACCTGCTGCTCTACCCCCGTTTCAGCTAGTGTTTCCTTTACTTCTCATCGGGCAAGCCAAGCGCAGAACCACAGGCAACTGCAGATCTATCAGCGAGGCCCATTCATTGGGCAGCTCTTGATGGCTAACCCTTTGGCCTTCAAAGACGCCTCAGAAGGTCCTACTTACTGTGTTAAACGTTTGAGCTTGACACGGTTATGCTTGTACTGGAAATACTATTTGCCTCCTACTCAGGAATCGTGACTCCCTCCCACGCCCAGAAGTGGAGTGTGTGTCTTATATTCCTCCAAATATCATTCCACAGAACAGGGAGAGCCAACTCATTCAGCTTTTAGTTGGCTTGGTAATTTCGTTGATTACCAGTCATATAACACGTATCTCTGAACGTTGTATCTTCCAACATAGGCACTTTTCTAGTTAGCAGATACGCGTCGAGATCCCTTTCCTCCCCCATTCATTCAACACCAGTCAGACAGACGTGGTTTGCTATAAACACAACATTGAGCGCAGCCGTGACTTATTTCCCCTTTGCACAACTTTGCAGCAGCAGGACAGTAGCAAGGGGAGGAAAACGTGAACCTGCAGAACAGGTATAACAATGGCTGTTAGCAAACACGCTCCTCTGCCAGGACTCAGGGAAGATGCTCTGCTTGCTTTGCCCTTTGCGAGAATAATGGCTGGTCCAGCCGATCCTCTTCTCCCCACCTCCGGCGGCTCTAGCTCTCCAAAGGCATGAGACGACCTGTTAGGAAGGGGAAAGCCTGTCACTGAGAACAAAGCCCTGACTCAGCATCTGCAGCCTCGCAAGCCGAGTCATCAAGACAACAAAGTCTTTAAAGAGGTCAAAAAACAGCTGTAGCTTTGGAGCACTGTCTCTTACTTAACCACACGTCCCTGCACGGAAAGGGAATCGATGATGATTTATAGGGGATTCCACATAAGGCCACAGCCTGAACCAAAGCTCAAATCATTCGGTCTTAACTTTGACTTAACTGGGAGGTTTTGGCCAGTGAAAAGTTGAAAGACGGCTTGGACCCTTCTATGCTCCCGACTGACCACAGCTTGCTGACGTGCGCTCTTCGGAAAACAAACGATCCGCAGAAACCACCCCGAGAAGAGAGTCTGGGCTGCAGTCGCCGATGCCACGATGCCCCCCAGCTCGGCTGCCTCCCTAACGAGCCAACAGCTAGCATAGCACAAGTTCTGCGCGCAGCAAGATAATTGGGGAAATCTCAGCCCAGCCCTGGCAGTTGCAGCCCGTTAAATATTGTCCTGCTGTTCCCGCTTTGTCGTGCGTCAGCGGGGTAGCTTTTGGCCTGCCTTCAAATAAGGGCCATATCTGACTAACCGCGGCAGGACAGGTCCTTTGAACAATGTATCCAGAGAAACAAATATTAGCTTGCACGCTAACGTCTTTAAAATGCATGGCTGACCTTGTACTAAGAACAGAGCAGGGGGGAAAACCCCCCACTACGCCAGCTGGAGAGGTTGGGGAGTTCTTTCCTCCCTCTCCCCTATAATCAAAACTACAGTGGTGTCCTCGACTGCTAAAAAGGAGAAAAAAAAAGAAAAAATCTCATGAACATTTCAGTTCAGGCCATCACGGTTAAATACAGAATAGTGTCTTTTTGCCAATTAAACTGTACAGAAGGGAACTGTAGCTCCACCCTCTGTATTCACTTAGTTGTGAGGCTTTTTCCCTCCCTTTTTTTTTTTTTTTAAAAGAGCATTTCAATCGCTTCTTACCAGCGCACTGCAAATGCCACCTTGTCAGTCTGCAGTATCCCAGAGCTGGTGGCTGCGCCTACGACGTTAAGGTGCAACGGCTAAACCGCGGCAAGAAATCCAACAGCTCAGGTTTCAAATAAGCCCATCGCTGTTGGGTAAGTGAAAGAGCAGCTGAGACATGAGAGAGAGGAGAGTTCAGGAAGAAAAAAAAAAAAAAAAAAAGAGAAGAGAAACAAACCCCAAGACAGGGAACACCCCCAGACAGACTCGAGCACAGTATTTAATTTACCCATCCTGTGCGAAGAATAAGGTCAGAACAGACTTGTTCTTTTTACAGAGGCGCCCACTAACTATCCAAGAAGTAAATAACCATAAATCAGAAAGAGACTTTGTCTTAGTCCCTGCAGCGCCGGTACAGTTATTAGTGCAGGTAGCTGAGGAACCATTTTCGGCACGCAAGAAGTGGCTGTTTTTTAATCCTGTGAACAGGATGAGGGAACAGATAGATGGAGCCACATGAACAGCTGTACCAGCAGAGCTGGGGATATTGTACAGGAACGAGAAGCACAAGCTGCTGCCAAGAAGACATGCTCAGTTCTGTCTTCATTCAGTCAAGCTAAAGAAGAAGAGAAATCTCCCACCTTGTTCAGGATGAAAAAAAGTGAGTTTTCATCTAGTTTCTCAAGCGAAACTAAGCAGGAAATATGCATCAAGTCCCCTCCGACACATAAAGGCAGCGTCTTTAGGAACATCTATGATAACATTTTCCTGCCCCTACTATAGGTCGCGAGTTTTTTCAGAACGGGTCTAAACGCGTGCGACGGCTTAACGAGCTGCACGCTCAAAGACGACGGATGCAGTTGCTTCTGCAGGAGCATGTCTGACACCAAAGCCAGAATACAAGGTCTCTAAAAACACTTCTGTCTACCAGAGCACAAGTGGGCTTTCTGCAAGTCAATTTAAACATTCAAGAGTCAGATGTATCCTTTGATGCAAACAGTCTCTTATTAGTCAGTCATCAAGGTAGTGAATAGTCGGTGGAGGGCTCTTACAGCTAGAACAAATTCCAATCAGAGCAGAAGGCTGGCTGCGCCGAGAACAAAGACGAGCCCGATGAAGAGCCATGCAACATCATCCGAGTACGACTTTACAGGAGATGACAGGTGACATCTTCAGGCCTGACAGATCAAAGAACTTCTTATGAAAAAAGCTTTAGAGCGAGGATTCAGTTTACAGTGCAACGCTGCTCAAGTCTCAGGTATAAAGCACAGAGTTCACTTGCGGTGGCCGGACAGCGAGAAGCTTAGCTACTTTCTATACGTTTCAGGAAACTTTGAGGAAATAAGGGACGAAACGGAGCGAAGAAGATAAACACGGAGACACCTCTGCCAATTCTTTGGAAGCCCCAAACTTGCAAAGCTTCCGATACAGGCAAAGAACAGCTATAAAACACTTTGTACTCAAGAGTTCTCAGCTGCTCTGTTTTCACACCCAAAGCTATTTACGGCTCCACAGCTGAGCATAAACTAAGCTTTTCCCCAGCCTCAAAGAGAGTTCAGTGCTCAGAAGTCCTGCATCCAGGTCCCAATCCTGTACTGTAACTAGTTCCCAGGTGGAAATCTCTGACCAGTGTTGGACTCGCCAGTCAGCACTCTATTTTGAGTGTGTGAGAGGAAGCAAACTGAACCCATGTAGCCAGAAAGACCAGCTTAGATATCCAAATAGGGCCAGGCTTTGAATTAGCCTGCTGCCGTCAGGAAGTTCAGCATGCTCTTACACTTGGATAGCAAAGTCTTGCACTATCTTGATTCAACTCAAAAAGCAGACAAAATTATGTCAATGCCATGGGCCTAGTGCCTCCTGGAATTACCAGCAGGTTATGATGATTTTTGCCCTATGACATTTGTAACTTGAGACTGGAGTCTATCCCCAAGCTTTCCCACTCAACCTGGGATCGTTCAGAATGGGACTTTGACTACTGAAAGACAACCCACACATCTAAAATGGAAGGCAACAAAAAACAATTTTTACTAATGCTAAACTTATTGTGCACAAAGAACTGGCAAGATAGGCCACTTGAGTGAAAGCATTTGTGAAGTACTGTGAAACTGCAAACACACAGATCTCATTTTTCAAATCACTTGGCTTGCTGTGAAGCAGGGAAAAAAATTCAAGAGGGTGAGCACCTGAGAAAAAGCTATAAAAATATAAATTAGCTATGTGTAGGAGATTAACTTAAAAAAACTAACTAGACTAGCGGGACAATTAATAGGTCCACTGGTCCAAATAATATTTTCCATTTGCAGTTCATATCTTCCCCAGTCAGTGAAAACTTTGAACAGCAAATGAAGTGCCCCAACTACTAAATCTTGCAGATTTCCAAAAAAAATAGTTTTGCTGAGAAATACATGTACTTGGCATGAGATGCATGTGATGGGTCTCCAAACCTGACAACCTAAACCTGAGCTAGCCCCAAGTCTCAACCCTCTGACAGCTAGGGCTGCACGCCTATCTGCGCGCCGCATTGCCTGAGGTCCCTTGAAAAGCGGCTGTACTTGCTCACGGACATGTCTTACATTCCCCTACAACTCAGGGGATCTTACCCGTCTTGTTGCCTCTGCAGTTATAAATACTGTACATCTTAAAAATATTTCATCTTGCACTACCATCAAGTATTGTACTAAATTGCAAAACTACTGCGCTAAACAG